TCGTGAAGGTAAATCCCTGTGTAATCCTTCGACTCCCTGGGTAATCCTTCGACTCCCTGGGTAATCCTTCGACTCCCTGGGTAATCCTTTAAATACCTGTGTAAGCTTTCAAATTAATGAGCAATGCTTCAGCTCTGTGTAGTCCTTCAAATCCCTATGCAATCTTCCAAATCCCTGTGAAATCTTTCAAATTTCTGTAAAATCTTCCAAATCCTGTGCAATCCTTATAATCCCTGTGTAACCATTCAAATCTCTGTGCAATCCTTTAAATCCTTGTGCAATCCTGCAAATCATTGTGTAATCCTTCAAATCCCTGTGTAATCCTCCAAATTCCTGTGTAATCCTTCATATCCATGTATAATTTTTCATATCACTGTGTAATCTTGCAAATATTTGTGTAATCCTTCAAATTCCCGTGTAATTCTTCAAATCCTTTTGTAATCCTTCAAATCCCTGCATAATCCTTCAAATCCTTGCATAATTAATCAAATCCCTGTGTAATCATTCAAATCTCCGTGTAATCCTTCAGATCCCGGTGTAATCCTTCAGATCCGGGAGTAATCCTTCAGATCCGGAAGTAATCCTTCAGATCCGGAAGTAATCCTTCAGATCCGGAAGTAATCCTTCAGATCCGGAAGTAATCCTTCAGATCCGGGTATAATCCTTCAGATCCGGGTATAATCCTTCAGATCCGGGTACAATCCTTCAGATCCGGGTATAATCCTTCAGATCCGGGTATAATCCTTCAGATCCGGGTATAATCCTTCAGATCCGGGTATAATCCTTCAGATCCGGGTATAATCCTTCAGATCCGGGTATAATCCTTGCCCTGCACTGAACTCAGCAAACAGCGCTGATCGACCACAAGGATAATCAAACTCTTCACATTGTTTACCTCTCTGGGATCTTTGTTTACCTGTCATTTTTACGGTGTTTACTTATCCTCACAAACACAAACTGGTCCAACAGCGGTTTTGTTATGTAGACAAACAAACAATAAATATAAAAAAATAGACAATAATTATAATAATAGGCAAACCGGCGCAGCTTGTAGAGAGACGAGCAAAAATTTCCAAAGAAAAGCACACAGGTATATATGGAAGCATACACATACACACAGCGAAGAGGCGGGGCCAGGAGCTATGATGCGACCCCTGCATCCACAAACAGGTAAGTACAAATAGGTGGGTATGTCGTGCGAATAGGCAGAACTTGCGATCTTGGCTTAAATAGCAACGCTCATCTTGTCATATAGAACAAGTGAAAATTTGTGTATGCAATAATTTCGCCAAAATCATTCTGAACCTAACGAAAAAAATATATTTCACTGTATTAAATTACTATAAACGTATTTAAAATATATTCAGTTGGGTTAGGCTAAAATAAATTGCTCTTGTTATAATAAGGTTAGGTAAGTTTTCTAAGATTCTTTTGGTGCAAAATTATAAATTTTTACATTAACATTAATGAAAAAATATATCTTTAAACGTATAAGAGAAAATTTTAGAAAGGACTTAATTTTAAATAAGTTCTTGCTAATTGACCAGTTTTACATATTCGGCACTACAGGTACATACACACACACACACACAGCCAGGAGTTATGAATCGACCCCTATAACCACAATTAGGTGAGTACACACACACACACAGGAGAGATAGGGGGGATATGACAACGACATATAAAATACTGAGAGGTATAGACAAAGTGGACAGAGATAGGATGTTCCAGAGATGGGACACAGCAACAAGGGGTCACAGTTGGAAGCTGAAGACTCAGATGAATCACAGGGATGTTAGGAAGTATTTCTTCAGTCATAGAGTTGTCAGGAAGTGGAATAGCCTGGGTAGTGATGTAGTGGACGGAGGATCCATACACAGCTTTCAGAAGAGGTATGATAAAGCTCACGGAGCGGAAGAGTGACTGAGTAGCGGCCAGTTGAAGAGACGGGGCCAGTAGCTGTGACTCGACCCCCGCAACCACAACTAGGTGAGTACAACTAGGTGAGTAAACACACACACACACACACACACTTGTTCTTATGACGCAAGATTACAGAGTAATTTTGTAAATTTTCTGGATATAAGTAATCTCAGCATGGCGTTGGTGAGAGAGAGAGAGAGAGAGAGAGAGAGAGAGAGAGAGAGAGAGAGAGAGAGCAGTCATGACTGAGAGAGTTATCCCCAAACCTCCCAAAAATCTCCTATCTCCCTTCCGTATGTAACTAATTTACCTCTGAGTCGATCTCCTGTCTCTCTCCTCTTGCTGTGTTTTGCTTCTGCAGCGAATAATTGTTTGCGTTAAAAATACTTTCACTTGCAGTATGGTAACGAGGTTCAGCAGAGCAGAGGACATAACAGCGGCTCACCACTACTGAAACACCTGCAGCAGACTGAGAATTTGTACCCGCACGTTTCCACCTACTGAAGGACTTGTTAAAGCTATATTTAAGGCTGGAACGTTTAATGAAGAATGCGTCAGCTTCGCTACGTTTCGCATTGCTTGTCCACTCGTTATTCTCATCATTATTTAACATGTAGGCAACGTTTAGGTCCTTCCTGGACCAGGAGGGGCAGAAAGGTCCCTTACGCTTTTCTCTTGACAAAGTGCATTAATTTTGAAGGCAGTCATTACTAGCTAGCGTATTTTACATACTGAATACGCATTAACTTAATAACTGCAATTATCATTATACTTAACGGAACTACAACACGTAACAAACAAGTACAACAAATGTAACTAAACAAGTATTGTCTTTAAATAACCAGGCAGTAAAAAAAATGGAAAAATATTATAGTATCCTCAATTTTTATTTTTCAGTTGTAATAGAAATACGCTTTCGTTCATTATTTATTTTGGTTCGAAAAAGCAGTTTTAAATGACCATAATTTTTAAAGGAGTGGATCGGTAAGCCAGCGGAAGGCCTCGGTCAGATGACCAAAAGCTCCAATAGCGGGTTATCATCTGACTAAGACCCGCGTCAGGAAACACTTGTTTAGTACCGGTGAATCAACAACAACGACTAAATGATGATGGTGGGAGCTTATTAAGCCTGAGTTTGCTACCACCTGCAGCTCACAACACTGCTATTCCCACGAGCTCCCTTGGGGCGGGGATGGCAGACCAGAGAGGCCTAGCTTCTCCCTACGAGCCCCGTGAGGGCGGGGAATGGGGCTAGGCCTGGGGACAATTGGTCCCGGAAGATGAGGAGGTACTTGTACCTCCTCCATGGGAGACATAGGTCTCGAGACACTCCCAAGTGGTGACCCAGCCAAGGCTGGGTCACCACTATTTGGAAAAGACCCGGGCCGGGAGAGTACCGGCGAATAAAAAAAAATGGTTATAACTAGGACCATAATTTTTAAAGGGGTGGAACGGTAAGCTAGCGGAAGGCCTCGAGCAGATGACCAAAAACTGCAACGGCGGGTTATCATCTAAGACTTGCGGCAGGAAACACTTAACATGTTTCCTGACAAACCTACCTATCTGAAGCCAAAGCTATATGCACCGAGAGAATACATATACATTTACATATAAAAAACGAATTCTCGAAAGATTAAGGCCCGTGTCAGGACATTGTCCTGATGTCTGTTACAACATAGATACACCAAGTTAATCAATATGTTTAAAAGGTATTTAGAAAAAATGGCAACCTACATAAAATATACAAAAGAACACTGTAACTGTAGCCTGACTGTGTCTTTTCCATCAAATAAACTATATATTACTTCGTTTTTATTTGCCTGGCTACTAATGAAACTCCTCCCCCCCCTCTCCCCCCCCTATAATTCAAAGAAGACAGGGTTGTTGAAATGGTTTAGTTATATATAAAGGAAAGGTTCGGTCAAAAGAGATGTCTTATAATCTGGGATAGATGGAGGTTCAGGCGACGTGTGTGGAATGGTTGGAAGGAAAGTTTGAAGAAGGTTTTGTGAGGTAGGGGCTTGAGCATCACAGTGTGGTGGGAAGTGACTTTTGGGATTTTACGTAATGTTGGAGTGTGAGCTTGGTAGTTTATAGAAACCAATTAGCCGGACTTTAATTTCCGGAAGTGGGAAATACAGTGTCTGTATTTTGATTTGCTAATAATAAATGGTAATGTTGATATCCGTCTGGAAAGACAGCCAGGGCGCGAGTGATGGTACATGTAGTTTCTTGTACATTAGCCTACCATGGTGAGGAACAGCTATTACCAAAAATCCTAAAACGTTAACTTACGTAGCAAACCTCATCCGAGTTCACATTTAAACAACAATACACAATAGCAAACTTTAAACATTAATAAAATCTAAGTCACTCTGTCTGACTTTTTTGGGTTATCCCAGGTACTTTACGCATATGCTGCTATGTATGATAATCTATGTAACTGTATTTGTGTATACCTGAATAAACTTACTTGTTAAAATAAACAATATGTCCACAAATTAAAATTAGATGACAACTGCCTGCGGCATCCCGCTGCCTTAAGTTTATATACGTTTTCTTTTTACCATTTTACAAAAGTCAACGCACTAATTCATCTGGCAAGACTCTCTAAAAATCTTTTTAAAATCACTATGACACCCACCTGCCTAGGCGTCTTATCTAGCTAACTAAATTTCAAGTAAGGGCATGCAAAAAAAAAAAAATACCTTCAACTAGCATTTCCCCTTAGGTAAGATTTGTCAGGAAACAGGACAAGTGTTTCCTGACGTGGGTCTTACTCATATGATGACCCGTCACTTCAGGTTTTGGTCATCTGACAGAGGCCTTCCACTAGCTTACCTTTAAAACTTAATAGTTATAACTTTTTTTGTTATTATTTCTTCTTCAAAGTACCATGAACTTAGTGTATAAACAATGAACTTACTTTATTCCCTATTTTAGGTATTAAATAATCTTGACTGGTCGTGAGCAGTCTTAATGACGCTCTTGTAGTCGACAGGCTTTAAACCCAATTAAGCAACAAAAATAAGTCAAATTTGTCCCCGAAATGAACACAGATGAGAAAAGTTACTCACCTAAATGGTAGCTCATCCTCACTTGAGCAGCACCCATATATGAGACTGTATGATGGGCAGCAGCAGCAGCAGCATCATCATGTGGGTGGTGGCGCCAGGCCAGGATCTGTGTTAAAGACAAGCATCTGCTGTGATAGCTGGTATTTTCACAGTATATATATAGTGAGTTTGACTACTAACTGTATTGAGTCTGTTTATATAGACAAATTAATAACCAAACATTTGCACTGTATGTGCATCGAGAGATGTACATATCTTACTTTTATATACAAAGCATATCTCTCGTGTACAAAAATGTAATCTCTGAGGCATAATCACAGAGTATACCTTAATGGTTGTTCTAAAAACTGAAGTACTTTTAATATTACTGCCTATAAAAACTGAAGCCTTAATGAATCATGCGGACAATAAATTTTAAACCTAACAATTTGTATGATTGTTAGGTTTAAATAGTTACACATGAATACTGTGTGCGTGAGTGTTGATGTTAAGTGTACATAACACACAACTGTTGCCACCTTCACACACAACCTTCACATCTCAAAGCAACAAGTTTTATCATATAAATTTGTGATTACGTTTAACAAGTCACTGCGTGCTTCTAAATCCCCACAAGTGCACAGTAAAACCTTAAGGTAAACTGCAGGAAAATAAATATAAATACAGGATGTAGATATTGAAAGGTGTGTCTTGTGTATATACTAAGAGTTTAATGCATATTTTTGAGATTAAAGCATTCTTGACCGTGACCTTGTTGTAAATACAAGGACGTAGATATTGAGGTGTGAATCTTTTGTGCTTATATTAGCAGTTTTATACCGCTCTTGAGATTAAAACATTCTTGACCAAACCTTGTTTAATCTGACAAATATATGGACGGGCGTGCTGAGAGCTTTATACAGTGGTATAGATTATTCCACACTGACAGTCAACAGGAGAGTGAGCAGAGTTGTTTAGTTCCATAATGCACTGTATGGTATTATATACACGTTTATCATCCGTGGAAATTCCCTTAGCTAGCTATATAATGAATTTTCGGCAAACTTAAAATTAAACGTACCCTAAAAGCTTTGTAGAATTATTAAATTAAATAAATGATCAAATTAATTTATGACGAGAAATTTAAGTATATTGATAATTCTCAGTTATAACTCTTGCTTGTTACAACAGCTATTTTAGAATGAAGACTTGTAACAAACTAGTACAATACGTGGGTGTAGAACAGTGGAAGCAAATGGTGTACGAGAGTAAATACTACTGTGTGACATAATATGCTATTATAAAGTTTGTTAGGGGAAAACTGACACCGTTGTATAAGTAACCATTTGAAGATGTAAGTGTCAAAGAGGGAATGTTTGGCTACAGTTGTGGGAATGACATGAAAAGCTAATTTTTGATGTGATCTACAGACCCCCAAATTTAGAGAGTGAACAGGGTAAACTTCTATAGGAAGAAATGGCTAAGGCATCTTGATATGAAAATGTAGTTTTAACTGACTGAGTAATCTGACTAATAAAATCTGGTGTCTAGCGAATTTTTAGATGCAGTCAGAATTATTTTTATTTCAGTTTTTGTAAGAAGCAATTAGAGTAAATGGCCTGCTGGTGTTGGTCCAGACAAACAAGGGATCTCTGATGAATAATCTTGAGGTTAATGAAGAGGTTGGAGAAAGCGATCACAAATCACTTAGTTTTAAAATATCGTGCAATTTCTTTAATAACGATAACAAAGCCAAGGTCCCCAATTTTCGTGCCACAGATTATATGCGGCAAAAGGATGACTTGAGAAATGTAGACCGGGGTAACCTGACGAGGGGTTATCATGAGGGAGACCGGACAGAAGATAGTGATGGCTGCCAATATATGACATTTATGGACAAGTTGCCAAACCCGTATAACATATTCTGGAGAGATTATAGGTGACATATGAATGACCCTAAATGGCTAACAAAAATAGACTCCAACATCTCTTGGTTGAAAAGAGAGGCAGTTGCAGACCAAGTGTGGAGAAAATTCTCCAGTAAAGGGGGTATCTCTCAGCAACCTTAAGCCCGCTGAGGGACTTAGCCCTCTCACAAAGGGTTACAGGACTCTTCCTTCCTCGCACATCTTTTATTAAGAACAGATGAATGTATCATAGCTTCTCCAGACACACCCTCTCCTGGCTAGAATTTCTGTTGAACTACACAATGAGGGTTAAACGAGAGTGCTTACTCTTTTCTCTATAGCATGAAAATTAAGAGAAAACCTGCGCCCCACTTTGTCTACAAGTCAGGGACATTATGACTTCTAGCCTACAACTAAATAACAAGAAACCTACCACCCTCTTGTGTTAAATACTGCTGCACAGACTAGCAACGAAGGTATGCAAAGCTGAACTCAGCAATTGTTTTGTGCAGACGATGAACTGATGGGAGCTGTGCAGGGCAGTAAGCTAAACTGAATTCAAACATCAGAGCGTGAATACGCCACAAATCTCTCGCTGAGAATAAGGAAAATAATGACTGTGTGGTAAACTCTGAAGTACTGTCAATCTCCACTAGGTAATTTAACTAGTGCAAAAAACAGTGCAAACACGAATGCAGTGATTAGCGGTATAAATTACGATAGTGAGTTAACATGTCACCACGGCGTGTACTCAGACGTAAATTAAGGGACAAAATATCACCCTGCAACATAACGAGAGGCGTCGAAGTGACTCATTATCAACGACTGAGGACAATTTAACTACGCATCTGTAGCAGCCTACTCAAGACAAGGATACCGGGATCACACTTCCCTTACAACAAGCTAGAGGAAATTGGGTCAGTTACGATACCCAGGTAAGTTCAGTCATACCCACATCTTATGTTAGCTGCAGCTAATAGGTAGATGTGAGATTTGTCTGGAGTTACTAGTAGATCCCGTGACGCGAGGGTGATCCACCCAAAACCCATTGAGTACCACTACGCATTTCAGATATTTGTGAAGTATTGGATATACGCTCCTTTGGGACAAATTGTAATGTCTAACTCACTACTCAGCAGCCTTTGTGGACACAGCTACAGCAACCCGAAGTAGTTTCCAGGGAGGGGTTGCTGGAAATTATGCTGTAAAAAGATAAATGCAGCTTGTCGTATATTGTTATCATGCAGGAAAGTGTACTTACCTAACCAGTTAATCCACACCACTCAAAAAAGTTGTATATCAATGGTATTTAGTACCAGCAAGATGAAGAATTAGACACATGTGCAGCTGGGTATCTTTACTTGCAGACGTTTCACCATCCAGTGGATTTATCAATACAAAACATGGGAATGACAAAAATATATACAACAAATAGTGGAAGATCCCTCAGCCTAAGAGCATTTGGTGAGCACCGTAGTCTCGAGGAATCTGAAGCACAGGTAACTAGTGGTAGAGTAACTAATGTTTCAGCACTTTTGATAATCGTTACGAGAAAAAGGCAATATAAAAGTACGAATGTATTGTGTACGAATTTGCGAGTGTGTATACCACAGACATGCGAGAGTGTATACCATAGTTATGAGAGTGTATACCATAGTTATGAGAGTGTGTACCATAGTTATGAGAGTGTATCCCATAGTTATGAGAGTGTGTATATCATACTTACCTCTTCACCTTCTTGTAATGTAAAAATAGAGCATAGTATTAGTAAATACAGATGGTAAACTAAAGTAAGTTGTCAATATTGGTCAGACTAATAATTAAGTAGTCAAAGTGGTGTTGACACTAGTACTGAGTAAGAATGCTAATAAGGGGTTAGGAAAACAGGTTACATTAAATAGACATTACTTATGATCGTGTTGTTCCTTACTGTTATAATTATTTTGTACATGTTATTAAAATTTCAATGATATAAGAACGAGATCGACACCATGCTCAGTCCTTCTAGGGCCCGAGCTTGCAGCTGACAAGACTGTCATTCCCATTAGCCTCCTTGGGCTGGATCTGGCAGACCAGAGAGGCCTAGCTTCTCCCTACGAGCCCCGTGAGGGCGGGGAATGTGGCTAGGCCTGGGGATACTTGGTCCCAAAGATGTACCTCCTCCCATGGCAGGCATTAGTCTGAGATACTCCCGAGAAAGGGAGCCAAGGCCGGACCACCACGTGGAAAAGGCCCGGGCCGGGAGAGTACCGGCGAATCAAGAAAATATAAGAATATCATCAAGGCTCTTTCACTGATAGAAGAACACCACGAAGACCCATGGGGTTTATTTCACTTAAGGTACAGAAAACCAAGTTCATTCATGAGATGCAGAACACTTTTGAGTTCTTTCACTGAAGGTACAGAATGAAAGGTAATTCATTCATTGAAGAAACAGTTATTTTTTTCAGTGAAAACTTAATGACCGTCATTATCCTCGTGGGCCGCAGACGAGTACTGGATAACTAACCGTGGTTCCCTAATTTATTTCAGGATAGATTTCGCGTGTGTGATCGAGTGAAAGATGTGCTGGGGTTGAACACTTGCCCCTGGGCCTCTTCAGTTACAACAGCTGTTATGTTGGTGGTGTCCCGTCTTCAGTGTTTGTAGTTACAACAGCAGTTATGTTGGTGGTGTCCCGTCTTCAGTATTTGTAGTTACAACAGCAGAATTATGTGGTAGTTAGACAGTTGATCACCAATTGTCAAATGCACCTGTTAGTAGACACTTGACTTGTTGTGTTGTGTATGTATTTGTTTGTGTGTATGCGTGTACATGAATAGTGTGTATGAGTGAGCTGGTCCGTCCATCCTGCTAGGCAGGGCAGGTCACACCAGTGGGGCGCCTTGTCATTAGAATGTTACCTGGTATTCCTCAAGTTTTATAACCTACGAGCCTCTTTGAGCGACGTGGCGTGCGTGTGGGACTCTGGTAGTCAGAGGGAGGGGTGTGGGAGTACGGAAGGAGGGGTGTGCTAGAGTACGGAAGGAAGGGGCTGAAATAGAAATGAGAGAGGTGTAAGGGTATGAAAGGAGGGGTTAGAGGTAAGAAGAAGGGAGCAGAGGCAGGAAGGAGGGTGAGAAACAGTGGTCAGAGGCAGGAAGGAGGGATGTGATGGTAAGGAAGAAGGGAGGAAGGAAGGAATTAGAGGCAGAAATGGGAGAGGGAGAAAGGGCGGACCGCTACAGCCATGAGCAAAGG